TACTGTGACCTCTCTGTTGTTTTAAAATGTGTGGGTTTAAAATGTGACTCCAAAGTCTTTTTTTCTTTAGGGATCTGTTTGCTGTCATAATGGTTGCTGGTTGTTGATGCAGGCAGTCTGAAAAATTCAGTTTAGACTCCACATCCTTTTTTTCTTAAAATCAGAAAATATTCTGTGAGGGGCTGTGCTGGCTGTTGATGCAAGCAAGCTGTAAAATGCAGTTTAGACTTTAAAGTCTTTTTTCCCCTTAAAATCAGAAAATATTTTTTGAGGGGCTGTGCTGGCTCTTGATGCAGGCAGACTGTACAATGCAGTTTAGACTTTCTTTTTGTGATGACAAGTTCTGTGCTGGAATAATGCTTGCTGGATTCTGTGGCTTCTAGGGTTTGTGTACTGTGACCTGTCTTTTGTTTTAAAATGTGTGTTTAAAATGTGGCTCCAAGGTCTGTCTCTTTTAAAATCAGAAAACTGTGGTGCTTGTTGATGCAGGCAGGCAGGCTTTAAAATGGAGTTTAAAATGGAGTTTTAAAATGGAGTCTACTGTAGACTCAAGGCTCTCCCACCTTGTCTTCTCTATCTCTCCTCTCTCTTTTTGTGCTTAAGAGCACAAACCTTTGTCTGAGGGGACTGTGTGCCCCAGTGATGACCTTTCTTTCTTTCCTCTTTTCCCCATTGTTCCTTCCCTCCCTCCCCCTCCTTCCCTGCTCTATGTATCTATGTATCTATGTATCTATGTATCTATGTATCTATCTATCTATCTATCTATCTATCTATCTATCTATCTATCTATCTATCTATCTATCTATCTATCTATCTATCTATCTATCTATCTTTACCCTACCTATCTGGTCAGACGACCACTCTAGGCGGCTTAAGTTAAAAGATGCTTGGTTTTCTTTAAAAGATGCTAGTTTTTAAAGGTGTCCTGTTTAGAAGGTGTTCCCTCCCCACCTCCCTCCTTTCATGCCCTTTTTTGACCTAAGTTCATTTTAGGTCAAAAGAAGAAAAATTCTCCCTCCAGAGTACAGATTAACTTGCTTTGCATTATTTCCTATGGGAACTAATGCTTCGACTTAAGAATGGCGCCTCTAGATAAGAACCAAAAACAGCCAGAACGGATTAAATGGTTTTCAATGCATTCCTATGGGAAACCTTGCTTCTACATACAAACATTTCAACTAACGAACATCTTCTGGGATGGATTAAGTATACAGAGGTTCCACTGTATACCTTTTAGCCTCAACAGTTTGCTCTTCTGAAACATAAGTGTTTTTTTTGTGTGTGAATGGGCAGCTATTTTGTGATGATGCCTACAATATTTCCTCAAAGATTCAACTGCGCTCACCACTCTGTAAGGGTTGGAGACTCCCGATTTATAGTTAAATGTCTCTTCAAGCTGTGAAAGAGCAACTACTCCCCAAAGACACATAGACAAACTTAACTTCTGAGAAAGGATTGCATCTTCCAAGTCCAAATCTAACTGTTCACTAATTCTCACAAGACACAATTCCCACGTTGTTGGTTGTTAGATACTGATTATTCCTGTGATTGAATGAATAAAAGACGGGAGCTAGCCTTTATGCAAAGTTTCACAATCACTGGGCACTATAGAATGTGGTGACTTCAGAGGACAGATGAATCAATAAAGGAAGAAGAGGAAAAACTCCATGTTGTTGTAATTATTGCTATATATTAAACTGCATATTTTCCCCACCTACAGACATTTTCTTGCACATGAGAAAATGAGAGAAGAAGAAAAAAATTAAGATATATTGATGTAACTGCCCTACCTGAGTCTTATAGTCAACTGAGCTGGTGAATGCTGTGCTTGAATCTCTAACCACCTGGAGACTAATTAAAGTTGTCTTCTTAAGAGCCACAGCCAGACGCGACCCCACAGCAAAGTAGATCAGACCCTTAGGAGAATCACTTTCTGGAACTATTATGTAGGCAAATCTGGCACTATTGTTTAACATCGCTCCTGCACCCACTCTGTAGAGCTCCACAAAGAAATAGGTCTCAAATTCATGTACCTGAAAATAATAATAAAAATCAGAAAAAATATATTTAGAAGATTGATGTCCAAATAAATCTAAAGGAATACATCACAAAATACACTTTTAAACAGAATTAGGGACCATATTTGCATAAGATGTTTTCAGATCAAGGGGCCATCTCCATAAGCTTACGTGTGAGTGTTTATTCTTGAAAAATATTGCTTTGATTACATAGTCATCCTAGCCAAAGGAGCTCTTTGGAATCTCAATTGCTAGTCTTAGGATCACCTGTTGTTTCTCCATCTAATTCACTGGCTGGGCAGAATGAATTCAGATTAAGCTCTACTAGTAGATTTCTAGATGATTTTCAGATTAGGAAGGTTTTATGATTCCCATTTGTCCAACAAGTAGTCAGTAGCTAGTGCTCCACAAAGAACATGGGTGCTCTGCAGTTCTTCAACCACAACCTTTTGTGAAAGACTGAAAGGGAACTTTGGGCTGAGGATGCTGTGTATTTCATCACACAAATTAATTCCTCAGATTCAAGAAGCAGTTCAACACAAAAGAATAAGGCATGATAGCACGTTAGTTCTTCTGACATGAGACAATGAAACCCCTATAAATACATCTGCAAATTCTTAGAGCTTGTGAGACACTTCGAAAAACAGTGTCAAATCTATGGACACAACAATGTTATAATAAGATCAGAGGGAATGCTGCCTACTAATAATATGATAACTCCGCCAGACAATACCTGTTTGCCCTTCCTCTCCTCTTCTGGCCACACCTAACATCTCTCTTTGTCCACTGTGAGGTATTCAGAAGTTTGGTTTTGTTTTGCTTTTAATTCTATGTCTATGTGAGTAATTCAGCATAAAAAATACTCACATTATCAGGCTTGATCTCAATAGAAATGACACATTGTGTTTGACCAGCCTTACAAGTGGCGACTCCTATGATAGCTATTAGTTCATTTGCTAGATCCGTCCCATTCTTCTGTAGATCAACAGATGTCTTGTTAAAGGTCACACGCCAAGAGAATTCCACATCTTCAAAAGCTCTATCAACAAAGCAAATCAGCATAAATGCACTGATAGTATTTATTTGCATTATTATTTATTGGCATTTTTATCATTACATGAAGCATTTTATTATTTGATTGCTGGGTTTGTAATATGTGTAATAGTATTGTGGTATGCAGCATTTTGGTTTTTTTCAGACAGATGAACAACATATAAACAAAAAGAATAAATAAAGATGGGTGTAGCTGGTAGGAAACGCCACATGCACCAATGCAAAGCACAGTGAATTTAAGCAATACTTTTTCCTTTAAAAAAAGTTAAGACACTTAATATATAAGATCTAGTATAGATGTTATGGATTATCAATTATGTTACCAATAAGTAATTCATTAAGCTGTGGCTTTCCACTGGCGTTCTCCTACCTTGTCTTTAATCTGCTTGAACTTCCCCATACTAAATAATTCAAACAAAATACGGCCAAGGTGTGATCCAAGATGTGGAAAGAGGCAGATTGAACTAAAAGGCAATGGATGGGAGTGGGCAGAAACAAGGAAATGCATTGCAAATACATTTGGGTAAGCACGAGGACTGTGAGAAATTAGCAAGGGTTCATTGGCAACGACTGGCTAATGCAGCGAGGGGAAGAGAACAGAACTTATGTTTCATTTGGACTATATAGATATAGACAACCAGCAAAAAAAAGTTCAGAAAGAGATCACTAAGTTCTTTAATGTGGAACACCTTTCATTTTGAAAGACCTAGAGAAGACCTTGTCATAAACAATGCTCATTTTAGGAAAAGCTGCTCAAATTAAGCTCGGCATGGTATCTTACGATCTCGGACCACAAAATAAATAATAGATGGAAAATTGCTACTGAGCCTGAGATTAAGGTCAGACTGAACCTCCAACCACTAACCAACTGACCATTGCACCTTTACTGAAGTAAGCAGTAAATCACGACAATGTGCAAATAGCAAGGAAATTAATTTCACATCTCAGCTATTATGCATATGAGTTAGGTTGACAGGGTGTTTAATTCTTTCATTTCTGTTCAGTTCTGGTAGACTGATTGACTGACTTAAATCATATTCTAAATTTATGAGGCACATTTGCTAGACTGCAGTAAACTATTAGAGCATCTAAAAGCCAAAGATTTATTATAAAATTCCATGATAACCTCTTCTACTAACAGCAGCATCCTTGATTTCAGCACAGCACACTACTGCATTTAGAGACAGCACATTTTACCAGCCATTGCCTGCACCTGTTTGGTTGCCGAGTGACAATGAGCTGCACTTCCCTCTTCTCAGAATCTTCATCAAGTTGGAGGCCATTTTGTGCCTCTGCATTGAATCCCAGTATCCCATTCTGAAGATCATTTCCTAAATGAGAGAGAATAATCTAAAATAATTAACAAGCTTGTAGTGTTTGCTTGTTAGGGTTCCATCACATAAAACTAAGATATGCATAACTGAATGAGAAGACACTGTGGCATACATTGAAAACTGATATAATGAGTTTTGTAGTAATTTCTGCTATTAGGATTAAAATTATGATGGTTGAAATCCAGTAAAAAGTCACAACTAGGGTAGGCCCATTGAATCAATGGAACTTACAGAGAAGATGACTTACCAAAATCACGACTAACTCAGTGGGTCTACTCTAGTTGTAACTTATTACTGGATTTCAGCATATATTTATTAAACGTACACATAATGCATATTAGTCATTGGTTTTGTTTCTTATGCTAAAACAGAAGTAATTTTTATTATGATTGTTCTGTTGACTTTGTAGGTGAAATGGTGTTTGCTTGTTAAACCATTGTCATTTTAAAACCATCTGAATATATAGCCTTGGAATATTATTAGAAGTCAATAATAGGGCAAAAGGTAAGGGAGAGCCTAAGACCTCCTGTGCCAGGACGTCTAGAGGTACAAGGATACTCAAGCTGTTTCAGTGAAAGCTGTGTGGCTCTCAAATGAAATGGTGAGACAATGAGTCTGATCAAGATGGCAACTAAATCCAGGACCTACTTGGAGGGATAACAAATTTACTTCAGTACTGTATGAAATTACATTAAAACAGCAACTTGGACAAACAAGCTACGCTTTTGTTGATCTTCAACAGAAAAAAATAAAACTATAGCACTTGAGCTTTACAATCTGGTGAATCTTTAAGGAGAATTCAGAAGATGTTAGCCACTGCCTGCTTAATCTCTGTACTAAGGCAACATAAATCGAATAACTTCAAGGGTACACTCCATTCCTGATATTAGACAGATAGGAACAATTCAGTCCAGGAGCATATTTGGTGAAATCTAGCTAAAAACAGCTTGTTGAGAAAGCAGAGTATGTTCTTTTTCTGAGCAAATATTCAGCTTACAGCAACCTCTTGCATCATGATGGCTTTCCAGATGACAAGAAGACAGAACCCTGGCCCTACGATGAAACTGCAATTGCCTCTTTTCTTCTTTTTTCAGACATTTGACCCAAGCTCAGAGGCAAAATCAAGAGGGTCGCTGTCAAAAAATAGTTCTAAATTCTTTCCTGAACCATGTTTGGAAGGCTTATCTAAAAAGAGAGTGTTAACTGAACAAATTGAATGGGGAGGTAAGATGGTTTTCTTAACAGAAAATTTAATTTGAAATACATGTGTCATGAACCCTCTCCTTACAACTGTGCACCCAGAAGGTGGGATGAGGACTCTTTCTTTTTTAATTCTTAGTTTGTCCCTGTGGAGAGCCCTATACAAAGAACATGCTGTCCTGTACTACCCTCACCTCTGAGCATTTCAGTTAGCATTTATTAAATCTATTTAAAAACACTATTACCTTTAATAATTACTGTGGCAAAACCTGTGAACCCATATTCATGTGTGACATCTGTAATCTGAGCTCCACCTTGAGGTTCAGACAGGATGACATAGAAAAATTCTTGTCCTTCAGGCTCATAATCATCAATAATTTTGACAGAGACCTGGCTTTCTCTCTCTCCATCCAGCAATGACACAGACAGGTCCAGCTCCTCAAAATCAAAGCCTTCAGTTGCCCAAGTTAGGCCTGAGATTCCAGAGACCACTTCAAGTGGGAATGCACCAGTTGCACTCTGAGCATTTATTCCACCAAAGGTTTTAACAAGTACTGAGATATTTCCCATAAATCCCTGAGTTCTTCTAATATGAATAAGAACTGTGTTGGGTGCGCTGTTATCGGTGTCTTCTTCAACGTAAGTAACAGCAGGTCCAAGACTTAGGATTCCATGATGGATATCACTGGCCAACAAAGTTACTGATGCAACACTGAACTCTGGGTTCAGACGTGGATTCCGGGTCAGATCATACTGCTGGGGAGCTACAAGTTCCACAGATGTTAAGTTCACAAAAAATATTTCATCTCCTTCTGAAATGTTATCGTCCATGATTATGATTTCAAACACAGTGTCAACTTGAAGGGGCCCAAAAACAAGCTCTCCATTATGGACAGGTTCAAAATCTTCTGATGGTTTGGCACTTCCTGCTATTGTCTGATAGAACAGCTTGGTAAGATTGCTCTGGAAACCAAAGAGTCTTTGTATATGAAATCTGACCGTTTGTTCTTCCTCCTTTACTAACATGTTTCTTGAGCTAGGGGCAAACTGAAAGATTCCCATTGGCTCAATTTCAGCAACAGTGAAGTCAGAGCTGAAACAAGAACAAACAGATTTAAATTTGGAAAGTCTGAGGTACATTAAGTATAGCTACAACAAACAGAAGATGGCTTTCAGCCTTCTGAAAATCTTCCTTAACATTTGGAGAATAAGATGGAGCACAAATTAGGCCAATGATTTAACTATCAAATATATAAAAAACCCTATGTATTGGGTTAATCAGACTTTTTTTTTTCAGGCTGAATGAGATGTCTCCTAGAGGCAGGCCCTGGTCACACAAGGGAAATGGTCTCTAGTTATCCTCTACTTAGATCGTTGGTTTTTTACCCCCGTGACATGATACACAGTCAGGATCAAAACATCTTCCCAACCAGCAGTGTTATTTTCTACTCTCTGGAAGGCTTGTGTTATATTGTACCTTTGTTTTATCGGTGCGTTCCTTACCAGAATTGCCTATGTGCACAACCTGCAATGCTTCTTCTCAGAATTGAAGCCAGGAAGGTGGCGACCATTATTGTGGCACTTATAGTATTTTTTTTATGGGGGGGGGGCTGGCACATCAATATGTTGGTAAATGTATGTCATAGGGCAATTTGAGCCATTGCTGCAGTACTGGCATTTCGACATGCTGCTTTTCACCAGTCATTGTGAGGAGATAGTTGCCAGGGGGTGCAGGGGGGAGAAAGAGATGGCAGATTAAGCTGTAAGGCAGAGGAGATGGTGAGGGAGATAGAAGGACCAATGTGATTCTGCAGGAATAGTCAGTGCAACAGAGGACATATTCCCAAACTGAAACTCTTTCCCAACATACCCTGTTTCCCTGAAAATAAGACCTAACCTGGAAATAAGCCCTACTACAATTTTTCAGGATGCTCATAATATAGGCCCTACCCCCCAAAATAAGCCCCAGTTAAGTGAAACCCTGCCCTTCACTATTGTGCAGCAACCAGAAGAAGATGACGTGACTGTGTTTGAGTAAATGTAGATTGTTGTACATGAAAAAATAAATAAACATCCCCTGAAATTAAGCCCTAATGGGTTTTTGGGGTGGGTTTTTTTGGGGGGTGAGCAAAAATTAATATAAGACCCTGTCTTATTTTCAGGGAAACACAGCATTGATGCATCAGTATATCAAGGGGCTGAATTGCCCCTTAAAGTAAGTGAGAAAATAAACCGGTACCATGGTGTAGCCAGCCATAATGAGTCAAATAGGAAGAAATAAATCATTACAGCTAAGAATCAGTACAACAGAGGTATGGAAAGTTTCGGAAGAATTAGAGAACATTTCCCTCATGTGACCGGGGCCACAATAGTTCAAAAGGATAGTTGTTTTGTATATGTGTGTCCATGCATGTACACCTGGATATACATTATATATAGTTTTATATCTATCTACTTATACCTATAGACAGATGTGTTATATATTTTTGCATATACAGTGGCACCTCGATTTACAAACTTAATCCGTTCTAGAATGATGGTCGTAACTCAAAATAGTCGTAAGTCGAAGCACCATTTCCAACAGGAATGTACTGAAACCCCATTAATCTGTTCTAGATGGGGGAAAAAATTACAAAAAGCAAAACAAAACACTGCAAGCCCCATCAGAACATGTTGGGGTGGGGAAAAAAATCACAAAAAAACAATGCAAGCTCCATCGGAACGCATGGGGGCCGGGGGAAAAAATCACACATACAATTTTAAAAAATAAACAAACAAACAAAAAACCAGAGCAAGCCCCATCAGAACATGTCGGGGCCGGAAAAAAATAACAAACAAAAAAAAAATCACCCCAATGCAAGCCCCATCAGAATGTGCTGGGGCCAAAAAAATCACCAAAAAAATGCAAGCCCCATCGGAACACGTCGGGGCCGGGGAAAAAACTACAAACAAACAAAAAACCCACCCCAATGCAAGCCCCATCAGAATGTGCTGGGGCTGGAAAAAAATCACAAAAAAACCACAATACCACAGCAAGCCCCATCGGAACACGGTGGGGCAAACAAAATCACAAAAACAGATAAACAAACAAACAAATAGAGCAAGCT